CAGCCTAACAGGGGATGTTCCTAAATTCGAATGGTTCCAACGGTTTCAAAAATTCAACCTCTATGAAAATTGAGTATTTTGATATACAATGGCCCATTGGATCGAAGAGAAATGTTGTGAGCTTTTAGTCTCTTGTATATACGATACAGTAACAGCTTATTCTGTTGAATATATAAGCAGAAGGGTCGTGAAAATTGCAAAAATTATTGGAAAGGGATCTACCGAGAGCAAAATTCAGCGAAGAAATGTGATATATTGAATGAAATTCTTTGAAGTAAACGCTTACTCGAATGCTCATGTGCAGTGACAGTTTGTATCAACTCGAGACCATCGATGTAGAAATCCTTATTGAGATCAGCCAGCTCAAAATAATAGAACACCTCTTTTTCATCCGACCAATCTGATTGTGAGTCAACATCGATTTTATTCTTGAGATGCTCTTTCAAGTGTCTGAAAGCTTCATATGTGGCTTTTACACATTCTTCACCTATTCCTACAACCAAACTCTAAACTTTAGAAAACTAATGAATGCAATATCTTCAATTATACGATCATATGTGAGCATAGTTTTAAAATTTTAACGATCTTGACGGAAAATAATATTGCATGATAATAATAATTGTATGGCAATAAATAATAAAATAATAATAAAAAGAATATTAACAATATAAATACGGTGAATGAATGCAATCAAACAGCTGCGATCCCAAATGAATTCTGCTTAAGAAACAAAATTTGTTCACATAATCTGGTGATGCAATTCGCTTGAACTTAGCTCACTGATTTCAAAAGCGTAAATTTCCTCTCAAAACCTTATATAAACTCACTCTTTATCATGGACCTCTTGTTTGATAGCAAATTCCTTCCTCGCTTTTGGTACTGAAAAGAGTATTTTGTTGGTGGCAATTGAACTGTGCTTGTTGATCAACGGTTGACAAACCGGATTGTACTCAAATGTACTGCGGTATCGCTGCAGACGCTACGTGAGACAGCGATTTTTTAGAACTGCACGCAGGTCAATATTCGAAACATTTCACGCTATTTGAAGTTTGAAGCTAATTCTTCAGTATGTTTAAATTTCTCAACGTTTAACATGAGAATAATTGCAGTCATTAGTTGCTCGTTGCTGTGGATGAGAACTATTCGTTTACACTGGCGAACGCATACAGCAATGATCTGTTAAGCTGTAAATTGCTCTCAAAAAAGCTGAAATTAACAAACCGGCTCCAGGTTGTGGTTGTTGAAATTGGTTGATTGGAGGCGGTTGGCCTCGGGGTTGTTGCGAGAAAGCACCATCAGCGATAACTGATAAGATAAGAAGTATATTTAAATAGAGCATCAATACAGTCGAAGTGATCAGCGATGACTGTACGAGGAGAGGATGCAATGGCGTATATCCGCCGAACAGGACAGGACGACTCTATATCGGTTCATTGATGATCAAGTTAACGGAACGTTAATCTAATTTATTCAGGTGTGTAAACGTGGCAATATAAACAGAAGAGCATGCCTTAGCACATGAACACCTGAACAAGCAAACAGCTCTACTTTTCATGTGAATGTTTTCGTGTGCACTTAATTTCATGCCTCATTTTCATAAACTTCACAGCGATGAAAACAACGACAAATCTTGACGTATCAATACAGATCAATGCATACATTACTATAGCATTATACAGTTTACCAACTTCAAGCTACCGATACTCTCAAATTTGCCCATTAACGCATGAATTTTTTTACACCATACGATTCCTCAGCACCTCTAGATTCAAAATATTATATGTTTTCCTGAGCGATTCTGCTTATGTGAGGAGATACAGCTATTTTCTTGAAGCTGCCTCAATCAGGGCAGTCGCTCACATTCATTGTATAATGTATCACTATAGATCAATGCATA